TCTGGAGAAGCAATGCTGCCAGGCACACATAGTCCCGAAGGTTCCTACAGTGTGTTGATTATAACTTTCTGATGCAGGCAGTGCAGGAGCCAACAAGGAGAGGCATGCTGTGGGAACTTGTTCTTACGAAGTACTGGTTAGGAATGTGAATGAAGACTGAGAGCAGTCTTGGATGCAGCAACCATGAGATGGTGGAGTTCAGGATCTTACATAGAAGAAACTGGACTTCAGGAGAACCACGACTTCTTCAAAGATCTACTTGGATGTATCCCACAGGTTAGAGTGCTGGCAGATAAGTGGGCCCAAGAGAGTTGTTTGACATTCAAACATCACTACTTCCAAGACTGGTGCATCCTGGAAAGTAAGAAATCAGGCAAAGGTGCCAGGAGACCTACATGGATGAGTAAGGAGCTCAGGGAAAACTCAAATAGAAGAAAAAAAAAAAAAAACCTACAGAATGTGGAAATGGAGTCTGGGCACTTGAGTAGAGTACTGAAATGTTGTCAGGACGTGCAGGGATGCCACAAGGAAAGCTAAGGCCCACGTGAAATTAAATCTGGTGAGGGAAGTCAAGGACAACAATAAAGACTTTTTAAAATGTGTCAATAGCAAAAGAAAGACTGGGGAAAATGAAGGTCTGCTGCTGACTGAGGTGGGTGCCCTTGTTACTGAGGATACTGAAGACAATGCCTTCTTTGCTTCAGTCAGTTTAAAAATAGTGAATAAAGACACACTGTGAAACGTAACTGATAAAACACATGAAGTAGCATAGCCAAACTTTCAAGCATACAGTCAGAAATGGCGCATAACGTAATCTTATGAGTCCCATGATATCACGTGCTCTAAAGCATATCTGCACTGGTTTCTCAACATTCAACATTTAGCAATCCTAAGACAGACACAAAAATGTTTCCTGGAATCAAAGCCTCATCTCCAATTCTGAGAGCTCAATAACCACAATTTTAAATCATCTGAAGTGTACCTTTCTCCCTCAGTGACAGAAGCATCTATTTAAAGCTCTTACTATATCAATCTATGTACTGGACAGCATCTCTTCCCTTTTCTGATCATCCTGAAGCCAGAAATATTTTAGTAACTGTGAACAAAAACCAAAATATGCCTGTGGCTTATAGATTCTGACAGGCTAAATTCCTACCTGTATGCATTAGTGGTTGGTATTTTAAGATAGACTTACCAGTGGCTTCTAAATTCAGGAGAACGAGCAGAGTTCTGCAGGATCCTGAACTATGTGCAAAGCTAAAAACTCTCCGAATCACAGCATTTTCAATTTACCGTGGCCCAAAATGGACGTTGAGAAGAGTTTTAAATACCGGTCACCACAAAGGTCTAGCTGAAGAAGACTCCAAACTGTTCAGTAAATCACTGGGTCTGTCATTACCGCCACTGTGCTCTGACTGAAGGAGTTTGTATTTTAAGTGAAATAACCAACACTGAAAGACAATTTCTCTTGTATTTACACATACACAAATGAATGCTTTGTCTTGTACTCCTCTGAGATCATCAAAAGCTACTGAAATCAAGGAAAAGACATACTAAAGAAAGATACGGGCTTCATAAAGTCCTGGACCAGATTAATCAAATCCATGAATAATTCTAATCCATTTAATCTGCAACTATATATGCATATATATACATAAAATAATCAAGACCTAAAGAAGTAGCTTGATGGTCTGCATGACTTTGTTTCCTAACCACCCCATCGCCACTACTTAAGTGAGAACATTTAGCAAATCAGGAGAATTCTAGGTTGGTTTTCTGCTAGTTTATCAAAGTGAACAAGGGTCAGATGAACATTAGTACTGAAGCAGGGGAAATACACGCTGAGCACGTGCAAGTGCCATTTCACCAATGGCAGAAGCTAGACTGCCTTAGCTTGTCTAACGGGACTCCAGGAATGCTATGGCTGGATCTAATTTCCTCATACCTGTTGGCCCAAGCCAAAGCTTGAGCTTAGCATAAAGCACTTTCATTGCTGAAAAAAAGATTTCCTAAGAATATTTAATAAAAGCAAATAAAAATCCCTACAGAGAAAACACATAGAGTTCTCAAAATACAGTATGCTCACAATCACTTTTGTTGGACTTGTCCATTCTGTCAAGAATTAATAGCAATTTAAGCTTAAAAAAAAGAAGAAAAAAAAAAAAACAACCCTGTATTCCAGAATAATCCACTTTGTTCCATGTTTTAAAATACAAATACTGAACCTTATGCTTTTTATTAAACCCATGTCCCAGCAGAGCTGAGCAATATGAATATCCTTGATATACTCCTCTGTTAATACCTCCTTTATTAAAATGTGTAAATGCAGTTCTGTCAAACACAGGCATTCTGAAATTCTAAAGATCTTGTCCCCTTTTTCCCTCTGAAAGCAAATAACTACACTGTTTCCAACTCTACTGGACTAACAATTTGGGGGGATTTAGAAACGTCTTATGGGTGTGTATAAATTAAAAGACCTTTGCAAACTAAAATTATCTTTTTGTGTGTGTGTTAACAACTCTGACAATGTTATCATGTCTTATTTCACAGGAAAACAAGATTCAAATCAACCTAAAGAGATGATGTACTTTTTCCCTAAGCCTAAGCATGCACCAACTTCACCCTCAAAAACTCTCAGCTCCTCTAGCTCTCATTCAGTTTACTGAAGTTCCACATCTTCAAAGAACGTTCTCTCTTTCCTAACACACTCCAAACTCATCTAAGCTTACTGAGGAAAAAGAAACCCACAAAGGCTAAAATGTTTTTTTTTTCCCCCATACCACAAGTGAAAAAACTTACCTTACACCTATCACATACTGATCCACGTTAAGATCATGGTAGTTTAGAGGGAGGATGTTTTACTATTTATGAATCCATGGAGTTTAACAAAATTGTATTACTGAATTTCAGCTATAATAACCAAACCATAATAGCTTGACTTTGTATGATTCCTTAATGCTACATAAGTACTGACTGTTTACAGACAACTGCACAGACCTCAATCCTTCAAACCCTCCTTTTGTTTACTGCAGAAGGAATGACCTGGAATTTTAGTGTAGAGGAGAAGCTTTGTAAATTAGCTTATTAAATGAGCTTTACCAGTCTTAAATACTAATCTTACCAATCTGGCATATGGCTACTGTACAAACAGCAGAATACCATAAAGACAGGTCTTGCTTTTAAAATGTAAGACATTTAAGTATAACAAAATGAGCTTTTCTATTACTAAAAAACAGCTGTGAAAAAGCCCATAAATTATGATCAGGTATTTACAAAAGGCTAATGCCATGTTTCAAAACAACCTGCATCTGTATCTACAGACCAGAAATGCACACTTTAATCTCAGATTTTAGAGTCAGAAGGGTTCCTTAATTTGGCAAAGTCTCAGGTATACATATCAACAACATAGGTCTCGATCTTCTCATCCTCTCTTCTATTAATTTCAATGCCAATAAATGATTAGGCTCTGAAAGATGCAGCTAATATGAAACAAAAATGAACTAAAGCAACAAAATAGATGAAGGACCAGAAGGGAATGACTAATAAAACAAGCAATTTATATAAGGTATAAAATTTTCATTGGCATCTGAGACGAAAACTAAGTACTACAATGAAGCATTGCTGATAATGGAATAATGATGAAATCTGGCTTCTGTACACATACCGAAAAGCTCCATCCTGCTGCTACATGGCATCTTACATTGACATTAGCCCAGTGAATGCATGACCTAAAATATTCAAGAAACTGAAACGCAATTTCAATTTACAACCCTCTAACTCCTGTCAGCTTGGATCATGCCTCTACTCTGAGAGACTTCACTTTTTTAAGAAAACGTCTGGTGAACAGCCAGATCTACAGGATATGCAAAGTACTTAATGTCAGGAAAATACACGGGCAACCAAAGACCTGTGAAGGATGGCTAATTTGAAAGGGCAGATCATTTCAATGCTTGCTGAAAACCTGGTTGCTCTAAATATCCAAAAAGTTAGAAATCAGAATTAGAAATCCATTATCTGGAAAATCAATTTCATGTATTACACATTCTGTTCCTGTGACAGAACTCCATTTTGTTTCATTCCAGTCCATGAAAAAAATTAAGGAAAAAAAAAAAAAAAAGAAGTTAGCTTCAGGATTGTTTTCAAATATCTGGGAAAAGAAATACAAATACAAAGAATTCTTCACTACAGCTAATGGCAAGCAGAATTTGCTATCAACTGAAGTCTTGAATGGGCTTACAGAATGCAGCAAGCTCTCAAGCAGTGGTTTATAGTGACTTTCAAATCTGCTTCTTGTAAAATTGGAGAATCTGAATAAAAAAGCATCTAGACAAAAATTACTATGGCCTTTGAGTGAAAACTTACAAGTCCTCCACATGCTTGCTTAGTATTTGTCAATCAATTTTATGTATTGCTACAAAGTGCCTGGCTTATTTGGATATTTCGCTCCCTGTATTGGGGCACAGTCAATTTGCCATGCATGATAACAGCAAAGATGGCATCAAGTATTACAGTCCAACAATCAATTCATTAGCTCCACATTCAGCTAAAAGAGAAGCAGGTGCAATTCTCCACTACAGATCTCTTCCGACTCTTTCACAATTAATTTGTGGTTCTAGTTATAGGTTGCAACATTCAGCACACGTGGTAAAAGTTGGTGCTACACTCCAGATAGAAAAGTCTGCTTAGAACCTAATGAGTTTGCTGCATCAAGTCATGTCTAACATACTCACTCATTTCATGGAAGTTCCTCTATAAAACTCATCATGAGAGTTAAGTAAACTAGTTCCTAGAAATGCTTAACTTACCACTACACTTCAAGGTTCTGTTCAAACTTTTAGCACACACCACCAAGCTGCCTCACACTTGATTCCGTATCTATGGAACTTCTGTCACTGACATCATCAATCTTTTCAGAACTTTCTCCCTTGACTGCAACAGTACCAGGAATTCCAACCCAAGTTACAAGCTAGCAACTGAATCCTTCAAAATAGTTTGTGTATTTTTCAATTTCATGTTGTACGAACTGAAAATGGAGTATCTGACACACAAAGCAGCACCCAGCAAACCATTCCTTACAGAGCAGTTCTCAGTAAGTACTCACTTGATGCCTGGTTTGTTGTGAGAACCTACTAAGACTTGCTGACAAATCAAGACCTTCACACTGTATTTGGCCAGGCTAGCCAGCTGAATAGCAAACGCCAGCATTCGTGCTTTTCAAACATCTGGCCTGCTGCTCTCCCAGCTGGCAGCAGCACGCTGTTCCCCACTCTGTTCCCATGCAGCCCCATCCAACCGCACGTATCACATCGTGCCCGGAGCTCCAGCTCCAGCCCCTTCCCAAACACTCCTCCTGCATGTGCTGGGCCAACTGTGAGCAAACCGGGAAAGCCCCCATTCCCATGAAAGGGAGTCTCAGTCTTTCCAACAGAGCCACACGTAAACAAAGATTACATGTACCGGCATTTAAATGTGCTAACAATGTTTTGTAACACAGGTTACATAAGATTACGTGACAGATGGTCCAATTTGTGCTTCACTTGAAATCTGGTTAAGAAATTTGTGTCCTATCAAGAAGCTTTTGCAGACAGAAGAAAACCATATACATGTCTTGATGAACTTCTGCATCCGCTAAGGAAGGATGGATTATCTGTTGTTACAAAAAGAAGTGTACAACTCATGAGCCATGTAGAAAGTTTCACCTTATTGGATAATAACAGGAAAAAGGCAACATGTAATGCTTTAAAGTTAAAAACAAAAAACAAACAAATGTCAATTTTGGTGACAGTTCAAGTCACTGAAAATATGTTCTTAATATCTATGGAAACAGCAACAGGAAAGAAATTAAGATACTATTTTATGCTTTAACACTAATAATGCTCTAACTGAGGAGGAATCACAGAATCACAGAAACAACAAGGTTGGAAAAGACCCGCAAGATCTACTCTAACCACTCACCTATCACCAATAGCTCTCACTAAACCATGTCCCTCAACACAAAATCCAAACGTTCCTTGAACACCTCCAGGGTTGGTGACTCCACCACCTCCCTGGGCAGCCCATTCCAGTGCCTGACCATTCTTTCAGAGAAGTAGTAAGATGATAAGGAGGAAGATGATAAACAATCTATGCTAGCTAGATGAGTGTATGCAGGAGTACAAATTCAAGAGATGAGGGCAGATGGGGTGGGAAGGGAATAAAACAAAATAGAAAACCTGCCTCTGCAGAAACTGCATTACCAGGACTTCCAACAGATTCCAGACAAACACTACAGAATTGACAGCAGGAGAAGATGACTTATTTTGACTGCCTCAAAGTTAAGAGGAAATCTGTGCTGCTAAAGAAGTACAGAAATAAAAGGCAAAAGCTTTGTTCACCATGAGGTCCTGTTAGCCAAGGTAGCAGCTGAAGGCAAAAATCAGATCTCTTGCTGCTTCTACATTCCTTTAACTCTTCTTAAATCCTGCCATGCCTGCCGTGCAATCTGGCAGGAGGACTGCATGGGAAAGCATCTGCACAGTAATGACAGTGACCCAGTGGACAAAGTCTTCACAATTAAGCAACTACATTTTCATCTGCTTCACTGTAACTAGCATCAAAATGTTTCCAACACTCACTTTTTTGAAATCTTTCACTTCCAGGTTTGCTTTCATTTCTATATATACTTAAATTAAACTAATCTGAGTCTCCTTATGAACCAGCGCTGAAGTCCACAGTTACCTTCCAGGAGTAACTCTTCTACTGCATTCTTACTGCTTGGCAAAAAGTATTCTACCACAGCAACACCTCTTACTGCTTCAGCAGTTGTTTTACTAGAGCTGACAGCTTCACATCCAGGAATATCTGAGCTGTGCCATTGTTAATAGTATTAATTCTCCAGTCTACTTCTGGGAATTAACTTTCCAACAAAGGCCTACTCATCTTACTAATTTTATAGTCATTCTGTTGCCTCCTAGGATGACAGCTCATCAAGCCTGTCAAGTGTGACAGTAGTCTGGGTTTAGTCTTTAAGCAAAATATCAGGATCCTCGAGATTTTTGCTATATCCATAACACACTCACAAATTCTAGAAAAACCCAAGTTTCCCTTATTTTGGAAAACAATCAATCTACAGCACTAAGATTTATTGACAGTGCCTTAATCTAAACAGAGAAGATGCACTATTATGAATTGTACCACGTGGTAGGAATCACGAGAAATGCTAACTAAAGCATCGAGACGTGCACAAAGCAGGTCATAACAACACAGTGTCACCCCACACTCCTCATCTCTTTTCAGGTAACCACGGACTGACTGGCAGTTGTACATGGCCTGAAATCTTCAGTGCCACCATGCTGAGGAAGTCTCTGCAACCGTTTGCAGTATTCCTGTATTCAGTGCAGCTGTGGCGGCAATATAAGAGATTATTGTAATGCTGAAGACATACTGTAATACAATAATAATAGATTCAACTCAATATAGCTTACTATACAGCATTAGTTATACACAGCATGCCTTATAAGCCAGCATGGAATGTAAAAACTTGTCTTCAGTGAACTATTTAGGTCACTAAGTCAAGTGTCAAAGTAAATACAAGAACAGAAGCTGGCTATATACGTGCCTTCTTTCATAGTCACATGCTAGGATGGGGCAGTGTTTTGTATATTTATCTACCACATGTACTCAAAAAGGAAATACCTTTTTAAAATATACATACAAAGAATACATATCATGAAGAAAAAAAAAATTACAACAGCAATGATCATTCCTACATAGTGCAATAACTGCAATTAGTCATTTTAATACATACTAAAAATCTAGTATGTATTTTGAGCTGCTGACAAAAGTTAAAAACAAAAATTTAACATCCAGTGGATTTTGACCATGGCCACTTAGGAAACAATGAAGTTTCATAATTATTTCCAGAGCTGAACAACTATGTCCATAAACACATTGTAATGCAAATACATGTTTATGCTCTTAATGCAGACGGTGTACAAATGCACACAACTTTCTGAATGGTGAAATTATTGAAAATAACATTTGACTGGAAGATGTATTGACTGTATAAAGCTATGTAGATAATATAGAAGTATTTGATTAACTAAATAAAGAGAATTGTATGCAGTATAAACAGTTATAAATTCATTTGCCAATTGCTACTCATGTCTATTATTTAACTATTATGAAATTCAAATTAGAAGAAAATATTTTTGCTTTTTTCACCCCGTCAGTGCAAAAGAAGGAGAAAGAAATGATGCATATTACAACAGTACAACTTATTACATTCTGTCAGCACCTTGTCTGAAGATTGTTCTTATGAAGGGAAGATTTCTCTGGTAAGTCAGTCTCAACTTTTTCCCAAAATTTAGGATGAAAACTACCCACACTTACGGATATGATTTCCCTGTTGCCTTTAGTTCAGAGTTTCATCACCTAATATGAAAATGATAGATGGTATTTGCACAACAAAACTAAGAAACATTCTCAATCTCATCTTCTCATTCTCATTTTTCCCCATGTCAGGAGTAAGTGTCTAACTTTCTGCCTGCTAGCCAATAGATAATACTGCACAGAAATAACGCCCTGGAAAGAATTTACCCTACCAAGGATTTCCAGTTCTCTGAGCTTCTCTCAATCCATTACAAATAACATCGACATCTTCAGTATTACAGATGGTAGTAAGTACTCTTTATTTATTTGCATATGTTTCCAATATTTAGTAATATTGCACATTTTTGAAACTGCAGTGAAGACAAAAATATTTGTTCTGTGACTTAAACCACTACAAGAAAAAAAAAGGTATTAAAGGTATTGCTTCATGCGTGCATATTTCATTATAACAGTGCCAACATAAATGTTGATTCTTCTCTGAACACAAAACACCTAAGCAGTTTCTAGAACGAGACTTCAAAGTCCAAACTCTACATGGCCAAAGGAGCATCATAAGCACTGGAAAGTGATCCTTTCTCCCCAGTCCTTTCTCTGCTCTCCCTCTCTTCACTCTTTGCAACATACAGGCACTACTTCCCAAGAGGTGCAGATAGGTGTGCAGTAGGAAGCCAGCTAATTGGAAGGAGACTATACAAAGGAATAGCAAATGAGATACACAAATCTCATGAAAACAGCCATCTAGAAAAAGGTGTTCTGGATTCCCAGCAGTTGCTCCATCCACCAAAATAAAGGTTTCCACATTACTTCTCCCTGCCTGTTCAGCAGATACTGAGTAAACCATTTGACACAGAACAAAAAAAATGAGTTCACTGATTTCGGTTGTGCACAGGCTATTTTTAAATTTAATGAATCTACAAGTCTATATAAAATATACCACTACACCAATTTTTCTGTAACTTCATTGTTAGAATCTGCACATATTCAGTGTTACACCCCTCTGCCTTCATCTTATCAATCGTATTTTTCCTGCAATTAAATCCATTCACAATTTCTCACATGTAGACCACACAATCAAAGCAAACGTTTCTATTTATGTTGTTAATCAAACAAAAATATGAAAATTAATTAATTCTTGAACATTATACCACAGCTGCATCAAATATTCATTAAAAAAATAAGAGCAGAATAAAAAAAATCTGATTAAGAAAATCCTCCTGGGTTTCTGCACAATAGGATCACAGATACTTTAAGTTCTATGTGAAGAAGAAAAAGCTGTCTGGGGAGTGAGTCCCTTCTTTACCTCACAGTCCTAGTAGAAATTAGTTTGTAAGAAAGAATGCAATCTGGCCTGCAGAAAAACATTCAACTTGAAAATATCTGCATGTTTGAAACACAAACACATCCAGACTGAAACTAAAACAACAATGACTAATTTTAAGATCTTTTGATCAAGAAGCACCAACATACTGCTACAGGGCTCGTTAAGCATCCCAGCGTATTCTGAGAACACAGCCATGTACAAATTGAGAAATGATGATAAAGAGGTAACATATTGATTTAGCTGTCTAAACACGTAAAAGCTACACATCTATACTAAAATAAACAATGCTGTGAGAGTTCCCATGCATAGAAATGAACTGCCTGTACTGTGAAATTGTTAGAGAAGGGCCTGAAACAATTTCTCCAGGCCAACTAGCTTTCTCCCTAACACTTAAAGGTGACCATTCCCAGAAGAAAATTTGGATATAGCTACTCTGGTTTTTAGGGCTAGAAGTATGGACATGAACCATTTTGTGTCAACTAGCCTTCTGCTTAATTAATTCACTAATAAGTAATGCTTATAGGGGGTAAATACAGAATGCTGCAGGGGCAGCTTCTGACAGTACAAAGTGGAGAAGCTCAATGACAGATGAAGTGTTACTCCTTAGTAGATTTTAAAGTTGTCAGTGACATAATGAACATAAAGAATTTATAAGCATTTGTGCTTTGGCTTGTATGATACTGCAAAGAAATTAGAACACACACAAGCATTAAAGGGAAAGAACAAAAGGACATGATGAAAACAGATAAAGCCCAGAGATAGACATCCTGTAGAGAACTATCTGTCTGAGGCATTCAAGATTATCAGGCAAATTTCTTTAAGGCAAAAGGAAAAGAAATTTTGAATATTTTTATTTAAAAGCAAACAAACAACAGAAAATCCTACTTTTGTTTACCACAACAGCATTCTCATTGAGTAATTTGAGTAATCATGTGGTAAAAATACTCAAACTGTAAACTGAGTATATGGAGACTGAGAATATGTTAAAAGCACTAGAAGAGAAATTGTTATCTTTTACACGAAAGCTAAAAAATAGAATACAGTATTAACAGCATTCAAATATTAAGTATTAGAAATGGTACTGAGTCCCTGCTAGTGGTCCGAGGTTTAGAAGAGATAAAACCTGATCCTCCACTGTGGATTGACCAGGCTTTTCATATCAAGTAAATCCAGTACAGCTTATCACATTCCTATTATTCTGAATGGAAATAATGTGTGGGAAAAGCTCTGCAATTAATGTATTGCATACCTTTTTATGAGGCTGAGAGAAGGTAAACTGAGACTGAAAAAAGTTCAGTAAAAGTTCAGTTGGAAACCACAAATTCACCTAAGTGCAGATCTCAATTAAGTAATAAATAAGTATGCATTTTTTAATTTAGTAATCTAAATGTTACCTCTCACCCTCCCAAGTCTTTTCACTACACTGTACAGCTGATAAATAGCACTAAATGCTACACACACTGCCACACACACTCCAATAACAAAATCAGAACACACTGTGTATGTAGTTCAGATATATCAGAGATGAACAATTTTCTTCTAGAATTTAAAAATATATACCTACTCCTGAACATTCAATTATAATGAAACAGCAATCGTAACTAAAGCTACCAGCTTAAATGTAGTCCTTCCTCGACCCAGACTGCCTCAGCAGATGTGACAGTTTCCTGCTGTCGATGGTTTGAAGGTAAACGGCCCTTCTCAATGCCTTGGACTTCTTAGCAGCATTCAGTATCATAGAATCATAGAATGGCCTGGGTTGAAAAAGTCCACAATGATCATCTAGCTTCAACCCCCCTGCTACCTGCAAGGTTGCCAACTACCAGACCAGGCTGCCCAGAGCCACATCCAGCCTGGCCTTGAATGCCTCCAGGGATGGGGCATCCACAACCTCCTTGGGCAACCTGTTCCAGCGCGTCACCACCCTCTGTGTGAAAAACTTCCTCCTAATATCTAACCTAAAAGGCCAGTAGTGTTGGCCTTTAGACAGTCAAATCTTTGGTATGAGAAATTGGCTCAAAAAATGCTCTCTGGAAAGAGGATCCGTGGCTAGCTGCCAGGAAACCATGCCTCTTACTCTACCCTTGTTTCTGGGATCCCAGAATGAATAGCTCTCCCTTGGGTTTATGCTCCATCAACTTTCAGACACAGGTACACTTAAGATGACACGGACTGAAGACTGGCACACACACATAGGACACGTCTCTACTTCCTCATCATCACACATTTCTACCTTCATTCTTTTTTGTCACTGCATTGTCTTTGTAACACAAGAACATCTAATAGATAATACACACCCTGCTGAAACTAAAATGAAGTTTCATGGCATGCTGGTAGGCAGAGGGAAGCCCTGCAAGTAATTTTTTTTTTTACTAAGAAGTTCCATACGCAGAACTAATCACATAGTGTGCAGATTAAAAGCACTCCTGCTTTCTTGACTGCGCTGACCTCCGCATGTATCTGAGCAATGCTGTGCATCTTCTCTTATCAGCACGGAGCGGCTCTCTATTATTCACTCATAATGACCTAAAGCTCAAGACATGCCTATCGTCCCTTCAGGCTAGTGCAACTTTCTTCCCAGAGATAAAATCAGCTGTACAAACGAGCAAACTTTCTCGAAGATAATTTAGAACAAGAAATGAGGAATATATCTGCAGAATATTCTGCACATCTGTAACACTGCGCCTTCCAATCACTGAGGAAAACAATTAAATCCTTCAGTAGTATAACACGTGTTAACCCAGCAATAACATCCAACGCTCAGAAAAAAGGAAGTGTATACAACACTGTGTGCTTTAAAAACAACCTGTAAGTGATCAGACATTGTACTCTGATGACAGCACTACTTCTAGAGGCTCAAGAAAACTGAAACACCTTCCAAAAATTCAGCCATTCACATTTTTGTCTGCTATATATGAGAAACTTAAAACCTACCCAGCAACAAAAGAAATCAGGGGGGAAGTGCTTTTCCTGTTTCCTTTTTGCCTTTTCTAAGAATCTCTCCAATATTGAGTTCTCCCTTCCCACATTTCCTTCTACAAAGTAACAATCAATTCCTCTTTGTCAGTGCAATTTTTCATTTCTTTTTCCCACTTTCTGTAGGTACAGCCTGGAGCAGTGGATATTTCCAGCACCTGTAGTGTGCCACTGCAGCTATTCCTGTCATGTTCACAAGGATACGAACACCTACATGAAACCAGCCCAGGTCTTGCTCACCTCCATCTCCCCCAAAAATATCAGGAAAGTTAGGAGCAAAAAAACTTTCCAGTGCTGTTTTTTTGAGGACTCAGGAACACAAAATTTGATTTACATTTTTAACTGCTTTAATGAAAATGAAATTCTGAATGAGCTCATTTTCGTTTCCCATCTGTTCTAGGGGTTAATAATAATGCCCGTGAGTACAAGAACAGAATGCTTAGAAGTGTAAATATGAAGTAATTGCAATTAAATCAATACAGTCATTTTAGGTTTTCATTTAAACAAAAATTGCTTCAAGATAACTGAGACCAAGATTTGATGTAACATTTATATGGCCCATTTCAGAAAAAGGACATAATTTGTATATCAAATATCACAACATCTAACATGCTGAGGTATGTCAGCTACAGGTCTCTCCCACTCATGTATCTTACATAGTCAGAAATGGCACAACACAGGAATTCAAGTGTTCTCAACATCTTATGACTATTTCCTAGTGGAAGTAAGAACTGAACACATTCATTGCCTACTAAGAGTGGGTTTCCTTTTCTTTGGCATCTTCTGCTTGTTCCCCCAACAAGTAACCTGAAGTTAAACACCTCAGCAGCTGTTAGATAACAAACTTCTCAATTCTACTTATAACATTTCATAGTAAAGCAGTACTACAATTAATTCAATACATCAGTACTCCCTGCCTGTTCCAAACACGCAATCACTTTTCTGAGGCAGAAGTGGAAAGAGAACGAGTGCAACGCTAACATGACTAAGTTCTAAAATGACCCATTCTGGAAATGTAAATGTACCTCAAGCTGAAAAAATATTCCCCAACGAAACACTTCATAATATTATTTTTTAAGTATGAATAACAACACAATAAAACATTGCTAACGAAAACAGAATCAAAGAGATGCAGTCCCCCAAATAAGAACAACTCCACACAACCTCTGAATAGCAATATAACAGCACCAAGAGGATTCATGGAAGTTGCAGCTCATCTCAGCAGTGCTTGCACACCTTTTTCATTAAACTAGGTTAATCACTACCATTACTTAAGAGCTGGAAAAGTACTTAAACCCATGGCCAGCCTCCTTCTCAAGGATCAGGTTACAATCCTCATATTTTACATCCCACTACAGTGGTGTTAGTTGTCATGTTTTGATGAGTTCCTATGGCAATAACTGTACTGATACATTTCTATTGACAAGAAAAAGTATAAGTAACTGTACTGTGCAAAAATAAGGAGCATTGTTTAAGAAACAGGATAGAAAGAAACCAATTTACAAGGAAAGAGGAAGAGAATTACTATTCCCTAGGCGTTAGAGTTTTTTTTTAATAATAGTAATACAAAAAAGCAGAATTTCAAATTAATTCTCAGTAATATACTTTTTAATTTCATCTACACATAATCAAGATACAGTAAGTAATTGTCTAAACTGATACACTCACTGTTCATCACACACATGCTTGCAAACACAGAGGTATCCCTCACTAAATGAAACAATTTCAATTGAAACAAGATTTTACAGTGAGAATCTTGAAATGCACCAAACATCCTTTTCTAAACTCAGTCTGCAAATTTAGTAATAAATACAAAATAAACGCTTATTTTCTTTATTTAAAACATGCAGACTGGGAACTTAAAAGGAAAGTCAGTTGCTTCTTTATAACGCTGAAAAAATGAAAATAATATAAAATACAAGATGCACCAAGCCTTAGGCTTATAGTCAGAGCTTCAAAGCTATGTAAGGACACAAGCAAGTAGGTGTGTGCCAACTTCAGTTTCACAAGCACATAAACACCAAGGCACATGCTTCCCACTGATCTCTATGCAAGTCCATCACCCAACCCATCAAATAGACTACAGCGTTCCTGTAAGATGCTACTTAGCAACTCTCTGTATCATCAAATTACTTTGGAAATAAGGCTCTGATAACAAGGAACAGTTCATAACTCAGCAATTACACCTAAAACTTCTCAAAACTTGACTAAAAGGAAGAAAAATATCTAGTAAATAAGAAATGTCCTTCAGTATTTTCTAACATAAAACATTAAGATTCTTGACAAAAGAGGAGCAGGGCTGGGGGGGTTGCTGCAGTACGTGGTGCTAAAGTACCTGTGCTCATGCACTGTATCACTGCACAAGGAACCACCATGCCGCGTCAGGCCACCAACACAGAACCCCTGAAGCCACTGCAGAAGCCACCACCTGGATGTCAGTGTGCCCATCTCTGCCCAGGACACAGCTGCAGGCAGCATCAGCTGGGTTAGCTCGACCGCTCACTTCAGCTATTTGAACCAACCCGGCCTGCAGCAGAGCAGGAAGGTTCACAATGAACTGCTCATCCAACCCTGCTACAACAATTCTGAATGCCAATAGAAGCAGGCAGCAAACGGCAGAGAGCAGCTGTAAATAGTTTTAAACCGGTAAGCACTGTTTCATAAAGCTATCTAACACTAACAGCTAAAACAAACTGTCTGCTGACTGACTATAACCAGCAAGGTATTTACAAGATTCTTCAGGCAAGCAAGCAGGACCAGGAGCAGTAATGATCAGCCAGGCCAGACCAGCTGCCAATGGAACCAGACGAAGCTTGCCTGAGCCCGAAGAGCAAAGGCTGCCTTGCAATTCTTCCAAGCTCCCACAGCAAACAATTGTAGTTAAACTTTAAGAGACAGTCAGTATAGAAGTCATTTTTCTCGACTAGACTGAAATCCACATCTGACATAAGCTGTGTTGAATTAACCTTGGCCAATACAAATACGGGCTGGAGCCAGTAATGCAGTCCCAGCACCACTTGAGCAAGTTGCCCTCTGTCTTAATTGCCAAAGAAAAATGCAACTGAGGCTTTTGTTCATTTGTTTTAAATGGACCAAGGGTTCTAACTTATGTCCCAAATGGCCTGAACATTTATTCCAGGTAGCTTTCCTTTGGGAAAGGACACAGAAAGAGTTATTAAATATTTTTAAAAGTGTTAAACTCCAGGGAGCTGGAGCATACCAGATGGATTGCAGTGAACACATGCAAGAAAGTCAGGCAGCCACATTTCTAAGCAGTATGTTTGTACAACACATGGAGGGCTTAAAAACAACATGCTGGGGCCATTATAAGGAAGAGATTGGTTTTAAAAAGAAAAAGTACCTTCTGAACTGCATGTATCAAGTTACAGTTTATCAAAACAATCTCATGCATAAGTATTTTGTCATGCCATAGGAAGATACAAGAAGAATATGAGAAGAGATTTAAGACAGGGAGAGCTCCACACTCTCTTCCTCTGTAACACCCTACGCTTGTAACAAAGGGGTAAGAATATCAAGGAAACGAATCAAAAATTACAAAGACCACATTCAGTGTAAGAATAAAGTGTGTGTCTAAGAGCAAAGGGTGGGGGAGACCTAGGCAGGATTGTTATAGGCTGCATGCGCAGCAGCAAAGGGAGCCAGCACAGATTGGCACACCGTGCACAGCTTGCTCTGGTACACACAGCTGATCTGGCATGCTACAAACGAGTAGGATACGAAGGAATGCAATTTAATGAGAGGGATTATTAAAAATTCTAACAGTAGATTGGAAAAAAAAGAAGGTAATTTCTCTCCCAGGCACTTAAAAAATGCTATGATAACGGTGTAATGAAGTTACCAGGTGGAGGTGAGCATATTTCTCTCTTCTTTCTCCAGCATTATTAGTGATTACTTTCTAGAAGTTACGAACTAGTTCAATTCCACTAAAACACTGATGAAAGAGAAAAATAAAGACTACAACAGCAGTCATACTAAAAGCAGTGGGCCAAGACCTGGCAACCATTAGGATTTTTGCCACGGGCTAGCTAGCTTTGTGCAAGTTACTTAGCTTTTATGTGATGTCAGTAAGAAGGGGACAGTAAAATAAAGTACTCTGTGATATACAGAAGTACTAAAAGAGCCCGGGATTGTTCAATTGGAGAAGCAGACTGAAAATAAATCCAAATGACAAAAAATGTCTGATAGAATGAACCTCTGAATCTCTTCAGGCCTGGGTAGTGGCAAATCAGGCCGACGACAAGAACTAGTTTGTAGTGATTCCAAGTATATCTCCTATCCTTCTAGCCTATCAAATACAGTCATATCAAAGGTAAAGTTTCACAAGTACCTTGGTACTTGCAAGTGTATTTCTATAAGTTTCTGATGAGCCTCCACAGCATTCCTCCCCTGCCCTGCGGTCCCCCAGCACAGCCTTCAGCCACACAGCACCCTGAGGACATGTGGGCTACACAGTGAACATCAACTAGGTGAGACCTTCGCAAGTTTTGGTTTTTAATAATTACACGTGACCAACTGAACATCTCACATGATATTCTCTTTCTACTCCCTTCCTGCCTCAGAAAAGGAAGGTGGGACAAAGGATTTCTGGGAATCTTTATTCAGTCTACCTATGAGTTCAAGCTTGCATTATCCTTGACTTGTTTTTTTTTTTTCAGTAAAAAAATCAAGAAGTTTAAAGTGTAAACGTGATGAAAATATATTGTTTAAATCCAGACAGACAACTGGTTACTGAAAGTAGGAAGTGATTAGAATCAACTTAAGTCATTTCACAGTGCAACAAACAGCTCTGTTATCAGAGCAGTAGTTACATCATTCTTGCACTGGTGCTGTCTGTGTCATGAGAACACCAATAGTCCAAAGGGGTACATAAAGAAACTGAAAATATTATTGTCTTATTTTTAGCCACGTACGCATCAAAATGATGTAATACTATGAAATACCGATATCCATTTACAAAGAAAAAAAAAGTGAACATTACGAAGGCAGTTTTAACTTGCTACATTATAAACACATCAATAGCATGGTCCTCATTTTGTGAAGAAAAAAACACGTTGTCAATGCAGAAAGATATAAAATATGGCATGCTGCTGTAACATACAGTTAAGTGCTACTACAAGAGAATTTCATATTTGTTTGACTTCTCACTGGGCTAGTGAGACAAAAACTCCTGTGGTTAATCTAGTGACAGAGGACTACAGCCATCTAATGAGCTTTTTGGATAACAAAATGAAAAACAACAATTTACATTTGTTAAAAAAAAAACGTTCCAAATTAGAAATGTGCCCAGAATGCAACTCTTACCATGATGGTAACATGGGGAAAGTTAAATTGAATGTGTAGTC